GATCTTTAATTAGGAAATGTTTATATTACATTTATTGGATGTATTTTTATCTCACTCACATAGTGGTGTATGTTGTGTTAATGTTTGTCTTACACACAGTACAAGCTCATTAAAGCAGCTTCTTAAAAACTTCTGTTGTAATGGCAATACACAAAGTGCCACAGCCTTCTAACTGAAGCCTGGTTGCTTTGATCTAATGCAAAAACAGGAAAAAAAAAGGTAAACTGCAAATGAGATTACGATGTGATGTGGAAAGATTATGTTCTCATTTGCTCCCCCCTATCCTCTTTCTTGCTCAAGGACACCCCTCCAGAGGGTGGGCTGAACCTGGGCTGTACCGCATGCACACAAAGCACCAAAATAAATGTTTTTCCTCTAATGATGTTGGCATCTTCAGGTGTAAAACAAGCGTTAGCCAAATGAGTTTCAAACCACACTTGGTTCATACTTAGAAACATAAATTCCCAGTCCGAACTCTTTGCCTCCTCTGATGTTGAAGCCCAGACAGTAGTCATCTGAGGTGGTGAAAAGATGTACGATCCTGCGGAGAGCGCTGTCTGAACTGGACTCTGACGGTGTGCGGCCGCTCTCCTCCACCACCATCCGCCGGTGAATCAGATCCACCCTACACACACACAAACACACACACATATGCAAAAGAGGACATACATGTGCACATGAAAACATTCACAAACAGTGTTTTCCATTTTCTCCTGAGCGCTGTCAGTATCGGTTAATCAAATAGCCATAAAGGTCACAGCTGTAATCCATCCACTGCTGCCACATGAAACCAAGATACAGTATATCCCAAAAGAAAGATAACAAGTGTGAGCTACAGTCAAGTGACAATACTTTACAAAACAAGAGCCATGCAAAGGTCAGTGGTGGTATTAACAAGGTTGTAGTGTGCACAGTGTATACAGTCACACTTACTGTTTGGTACAGTTGTTGAATAAACTACGTAGTGTAAATATTTAATTGTAGATTACATGTAGGATATCATTTTTGGCAGCCTTATTCACATTGACACAACCTCTACTCTGAGTCTCACCATGTGGTCTTCTCCTTTGAGTAGCGGATGCCGGGGATCTTGCCCACTCGTCTTACCACCATCCTCAGCCTGTTGTTGCCTGTCAGGACCTTCACAGCGCTGCTCATGGTGATGCTCTCCATGCTGACCCCGTTCACCTCCATCAGCTTATCGCCCACAGTGAGCCCAGCCTGCTCTGCAGACACAGGTGGAACTCAGCATGATACACAAGAGTAAATGTCACATGGAAACCACATGACCAGATGTAAGCACGCTGGTAAATAAGCTTGCAATCACAGTGAGAAACACACACACACACACACACTTCTTCCTAACCTGCAGAGCTGTCGTCCTCCACCTTGCTGACAAATACACCGAGTCCATGTTCAGAGCCCCCACGGACACTGAAACCCAGACGCCCATCTGGACTCTTATCTACTGTCAGTGTGTGAATGTCTTCACTCTCATCCCCTCCTGCAAACACACAAAACACACTGTCATGTACCCATAAAGCTCTGCACAGTCTCACAGCCAATTATTGACAAGGATTGTGGCACGAGAGAATAAGGTTTAAAATTCTTGATGAACAATAGAAGTTGTTATCTGCAGATCCATTTTCTCAATTACTGTGGGGTGAAAAGTACTGTAACATCAGTATGGTGGCAAATACGTTGCACTAATATTTAACACCTGTAGATTATTATGATTTTATTGTTCCTTCTTTGCTTTTGAATGAGTCACTACACTGAGTCACTGAGATATTCATACCTGTGTGGTATTTACTTATTATTTACATTATCGATCTGCCAACTATTTTCTCAGTTAATTGATAAATTGTTTTATGTGTATGTGTATATGTGTAGTTTCCAGAGCCAAAAGAGATGTCCTTGAATCGTTTGTTTGGTCCGATCGACAAGGTATTCAGTTTACTATAATAACTATAATAATAAGACAGCCAGCAAATATTTCCATCTTAAGAACCAGAACCAATACATTTTTCTGATACTACTAATAAATAACCTCTAAACTCTGATCCAAACTTAGACTTATAACTGACTGAGGGACTGCTGCCCCTGGCACTGTGCCTGTTACCATGGCAATAGAGGACTGTCATCATGTGCCGGACTCACCATCAAAAGGTGTGTTGATGAGAATGACCCTGCCCATTGGTGAGGAGGACCTGCCTCTGTGGCGGTGCTGTTTCTTCAGCATGTAGCGTGTGGTGCTGTGGGAACCCCCGGTCTGGCCTCCATTGTTGAAGTGGGGGTGCCCCCCTCCATTTGTCATCTCCCTCCAGCCAGAGGTGAGAGTGGAGTGAGCCATGCTATGTCTCTGGCAAATCTTCCCTTAGTCATCCAGACAGGAGGATATCTGGGGTCTGCTGTCAGGATGGAAGAGGTGCAACCTGGGATTTGGGGAAAAGTGGTGAGAACCTGGAGTTTTTTGCACCTGCTGGTCCAGAGTGGATGATAAAACACGGGAGAAACTTACAAAGCTGTCGGTAAAATGCCCGATCTTCACTGAAACCAATTTCAGACCATAAATAAAGCCTAATAAAAGAATCCAAGATCCATATGAGAAAATGTAACATAGAAAAACTCAAAGTTAACACACTTGAATGAACAAACTATATCTCATTTTAAAAAAAGAAGGCAAAAAATAGCGCTCCATGATTGAACTGCGGACTCCTACTTTTCTTGGTAGATTAAAGAAGTTGGTTTAATCCACTCGTTTCGTTTGCAGTCCCTGAATTCATCTCCATAGAGCCCACGGTGCCTGTTTCCCCCTGCTTAAGCTGAGACGCTGCCGGCCTGTCTGCGGAGAAGTCAGCAGTGCATGGTGATTCCCCTCGGGTCATGTTTAATTAAATGGATATCTGTTGTGAGAATATGCAGTGATGAGTAATGTGGGCTCAGAAGTTGCAGGTGGAATAAAAAAAAAACCTCTTTTTTATTTCAACACAGTTGATACTGTTATATTCAGAAACTTGAATATAAATAAAAATAAAAATAACTAATTGTGAACGTCACCAGTGGGTTTTTCTGTTAATCAGCACCTTGGACAGCGACTAAGAGATAGTACACATAAACAGGTTGGCCTAGTTAATTATCTCTTAATTGTTATTATCAATCCATTTATTCACGTTAACTAACCGAACTTCTGGACTACTTGCTGACAGTGTCCCGATCGGTGTCGTTAGACTTTAACACGTTCTGAACTTGCAACCTTGAACAGGTGAAACGTTACAACACGCCTGTGAAACAATTGCAACGTGATGGCACTGCGTTTAACACAGTGAACTAAAGTGTGACAGCGTTACCTGCCCGTGTCCATGTTGTGCCGGACGAGCTCCTCTCACTGGTCCGTCTCCCTGACGCATTACCGGACACATCCGGAGTATTAGTGCCACCTCATTTGTTCTCCAGGTGACCATTATTGTCTTAGGAGGTCTAAGCCTTTTACATAAGCCCCTGCAGCTGTGCAGCCATTAGCGCTGGACTAGTTATGATTAAGTACACTAATTGCACTACAGTAAAACTGACTCAAGTCTTCTCTCGTGTCAGTCTCCTCCTCCTCTTTGTCCTCGGGTGAACCTTGTTATAAATGTGTTAATTAAGCCCATATTTGTCTGTCAAACTTTCAGAGAGGCGCCTGTGGAAGAGTCGATCTGCCTGACTGCCCCCGCCGTGCCCGTGAGATGGCTAAACAACCCCACCCGGTGGTCAGCTGTGTGACACCACAACCTCTCTGCTGATTAGACTTAATCTCCAGGGAATTCATTGGTCTCATATTAATAGCAGTCAGTGCAGTGTATAGCTAAACAGGAACAGGTGACCTTGACCTTGAATGTGTGATTGTTATTTATCTATTGGTGTGGTTGATTAGTGCAAATATTGTTTAAAAGAAATAGAACCTTATTTCTCCAAAAATGACTAAAGTTGACATTTAAATCTCATTTTGAAGTAGGGTCATCACCCAGGAATGATACAGACTGTTTAGCTGAACATAATCTATTATTTTTGACAACTTTATTAACAAAATCCATATTCATCATAAAAAATATTGTGAGGAATTAGATATCATTTCATATCATACGTTTCGAACTAGATACTATAAATACAACCATAAGTACACATGACAAAAATAACAATTACAGAAACAACTTTTTTTAATCACATACCTTTTTTACTGGTTTCTCCCTATCATCACAAAAATGTATTTAAAACAGCTCATTTCATAGCACATTTACAACGTAATACATAGCCTACATACAATATGTTTAAATTCATGTATGTTGAACTCATTGACAGTATATGTTGACATGGGAGGATAGCAGTAGCTGCATGCTGTGACCTAAATAACAAAGTCTATTCCTCTAAATGTCCTAAATTTTGTTAGACACAAATATTCATATTCATTGTCGTGTTTTTTTGTTATATTCAAGACTTTTAAATTCCCTTTTCTGTTAACTTTTAGAAACTCTCACATCCTAGTCAGCTGTTTGTTTACCAATCACGTGATGTCTACCTCGCACTCACGTCCTCCATGACAAACACCGCCCCCAGCACGGTGCTGCTTTCACAGACCTCTACGAAGCTCGGGTCCCCTGGTATCCAACTACTATGCGACTGATTTGACCGTGTTTGATTGATTTTTCTCAAATGTGATAAGAAAGTTACAGCACAGATATTCAACATTTTTGTTAGTTAGTTTTATACAGAACCAGAAACGGACAAATATTAGCTATGATTCAACAGAGTAGAGATAACATCGTGAATCTTACTGATTTCTCAGCGCGATGCTATTAGAACCACGGATTTACTATGTGGTGTGGCCGAATTTATTAATTAAATAAGTTTTAATATGTTTTTAAATAATTGATTTTATTTTTTAATCGTAATCCCGCATAAATGTCATTCATTTAATCGTTTACCTCGCCGTTATTTGCGGTGAAGCTGTGTTTCACGACACTTCCACGCGTAAGTGAAGGCAGCACAGGTCCACCGGTGGGGCTGTGATATTGAGAGGTCATACATTTTTTTAAAAAGCAGAGAAAGAAAACCAGGTAGGTGTCAGTGCTGACTGAATTCACATCTTTAATCACTTTAAATCCCAATCCGAGTACGTTAACGTCTGCTCCGTGTCGATATTTACCCGTAGCAACGTAAACCAAAGCGCTAGCACGTTAGTTAGCCTGTAAACTAGCTGGTTGACGTTAGTTTACCGAGACAGTGAAGTGGTTTGTTTTGATGGCGCAAAAAAAAAGCCACCTATCGTCTCGTCTAACGTGACATTTGATGTTGTGGGGATTTAATTGGGGTTTGATGTCCTTTTTGAGTAGCTCCGTACTCCCAAATGTGTGAGTTGAAATGGCATTATCAGCCACCTTGTTAGCCTGTTAGCTGCGGCTAGCCGGCTGCTGACAGTAACCGGCAGCGTGTCGTGACTTCCCCAATCCTGTGTGTG